TATAAGTTAATGTTCCCGTGGAGGCTAAGTGAGTTATCTCATTGATTTCAGGAACTGTTTTTTTGTTTTTTGTTTCCATCACAATAAAATATGAGTATAGTTTGATGTGTTTAATTCATATTAAGTCATGCTTAATGCCATTAAGTAGATTGTGCAAAGGGAATGTTTTCTTTCTAAAAACAAATCTCACGTAACCCTGTGAAAGAATGTTTCTTAACTGTGTCACATCACTGTTTAGAGATTAAGCTTATTGTTTTGTTCTTTTACTTACTTATATTATTATCTGTCAAGCAAACACTTCCAAATATATTTCATGCTTACTGAACTTTCAACTGGAATTAAGGCATGTGAAAACCATGATAGTAAAAAGTGCTAGTTTTAGTGTTGAATGTATCGTACTTTTTATTTTTAAAATCAGTTGTAGACTATTTTTTGCAGCCAATGCCATAATTCCCTTTTAATATCTTAAAGCAAAATTTTAAAAAGTTATGTCTTAGAGGGATGTTTCTTTGCATGTTCCTGAAATGAAATGGTATATCTAAGATCACAGTGTCCTGAAAATATGAGATATGTGACCACTGTATAGAAGAAAATGCTATTTCAAAAACTTTAAAGTGGGCTCAACACGTATGATTGAATAATTTAAAATACATGTTTGAAACTTCACAGTATACTTATTATTGAACCTAAGATTGTACTATGTTAGATTATATTTTAACATATCATTTTCATATTTAAATAGTGTACTCAATGAGAGAAATGATCTTAATATGAACATTTAACAAATAATTTTAAAATAAATTCACAGTTAATTATCTTTATAAATATTATCTACATTAATTTCCTCATTTGGTAGGAAAGACCGAAGTATATAAATAAAAAGAAACCGAAACATTTTGTATAGTTACCTTAAATCGTCATAGAGTTAAAAACAGAAATTAACCCTTAGACATATGTGTCTAGGATTAAAATATGATGTGACTTGTAGGATATGATTACTGGCTCACTTCATGCTATTTTCCAGCCGAACAATGCCTGTCAACTAAAAGCAAATTAACAGACTATGCTGTGATAACACTTACTTCAAATCTAGTAATTTGTTTACTTAATATATGTCTGCTATTTTAAAAAATTAGCAACTCTTAGTACATCAAAAGACCCTTGTTGAATCTGGAAGAGAGGAGTTGTATTTGAATCTATTCTTCATAAAAGTGTCTATTAAACGTGTTTTCTTTATATGGTATGAATTGCTAATTAGGACATCTAAATAAGTATACCACTTGGTTAAAAGATAGGAACATCAATATAAGCATAATGTATGAATATGAAGAGTTAATGAGTGGATATAAATCATTTGTGTATATTTCGTATATATAATGTATATGTATAATGTATATAAAATGTAAATAAAAATCACATGGATACCAGGTAGAGTTCTAGACATTGGAATACACCAAACAAAATAAGTGTAATAAATGAGTTGTAAAATATGTCAGGTGATGATTGAGGCTATAGCAAAAATACAGGCAGGCAGGAAGGCAGGAGAGGAAGAAAGAAGGAAGGAAGGGGAGAGAGAGAAGAGAAAGAAAGAAACAAAGCAAGAGAAGAAAGAGAGAGAGAAGAGAAAGGAAGGAAGAAAAGAGAAAGAAAGAGAAAGGATGAAAAAGAAAGAAAGGAAGAAAAAATGAAAGGTGGGAGGGAGGGAAGAAAGGAAGGAAGAAAGAGGAAGAAAGAGCGAGGAGTCAATCAGGAATCAGTGGTCTGGAAAGGATCCAATACTAAATGAGGGTGGATTTCACTGATAAGGTGAGTTTTGAGCAAAGATTTAAAGAAGGTAAACGGACAGGCCAAGCTGATTTATTATGTAGAATTTTATACTAGAACACATACAGAAGAAATTATTTATTTCAAAATTTAACGTGACCCAAACTGCGAATACAAAATATGCCCTTACAAGTCTAGACCTGAAAATTTGTTTGTTTTTTCAAAATCTTCTATAAGCTTATGATAAGAAATATCATATGACATTATTTTTACAAAATAAAAACAAGATAGGGTGAGTCCACGCGTTGTTTTAGTTTAAACTCTATTAGATGCTTGTGTTTACTGTACTTCATAGGGAGTAATATAATCATATCCAATAGAAGGATACAGTTCATATTCAAATATTATGCACTAGTTTATGAATATCATCATCATGTTCACCTGAAAAGGATCCAAGTGAAAATATAGAATCATGAAATAATAGCAGAAGTTAAGGGGCATTTAAATCTGATATAGATACTAACAATAATTCTAAGTTATTTACATTTTGATATGCTCTGTTTCTTGGTATTTTACTATTTGTCTGTTTATATTTCTTACTGCCCTACCTCTTTACCTCTCTACACGTTTTCTTTTCCTCTGATAAGTTCATTAAGCACTCAACAGATAATTTCTGGAGTTGGCAATATATGACATTTATTTACGTGTAGGGGATATTTATTTATTGTGTACTAAGTGCCAAACACTGTACTAGTCACTAAGAACACAATCTTAAATAAGACAATACACTTCAATAAATGATTCTAATAGTTTAGTGAGGGGAGAAAACATGGAATAAATAAAATAAATACAATGTATTATGATAAGTGCAATAATATCTAACAGTTGCTGAACACTATTAATAGGGGCCATGTTAAGCGCTTGATACCTGTATGTCTATTTATCTTCAATCCCATCAGATAGGTGCTAATACTAACTCTGTCTTTACAATGCAAAAGTGAAATACGGAGTGGTTAAATAACTCGCCCATATCACAAGGGTAGAGTTTGGATTTGAGCCTAGGCCTTCTGACTACATAGATCTCTGTATTAACTTTATCTTCTTGCTTGTTCAGAAGCCAGAGTTATAGAGTAACTCAGCCTGAAGATGTATTCGAAAGGTTATCAGAGTGAAGGTGGCACCAGAACTGGATCTTATGGATGAATATTTCCTAGACAGAGAAGACAGGAAGGGTCTTTAGCACGGAAGAAAGCTTTGTGAATAGGCAGTGAGAATCAAAATTGCATATGGTACAAGGAATTAGGAATCTCCAGTGGTGTTTCTGTGTGGCTGGGTGTGAGACGCACAGTGAGAGATGCCAGTAAAGATGGAGATGGTGGTCACTTGATGGAGGACTTTCATCCCTTGCTCCGGGTTTACTCTTCATACAGGGATGGCAAGTATGTTTCATACTGTGAAACAATAATGATTTATAGGCAGTGGCTTATATTTTCAAGCCATTGCCTTTAGAGCAGCATGGAGGACTAACTGGTACCTGAGAAACCTTTAGAACGCTACATAATTGTTTAGAGATAAATTTCTGGATGAAGCTGGAATACAGAGGAGGAACAGAAATGAGGAATATTTATTGCTAGTACTTGGTAATTTTATTAGGTAAGAGAAGTGATGAGGAGGGGAAAGGAGAAATAGAAAATACATCCCAATTTTTTAGCTGAGCTACTGGATGGATGGTGCTACCATTCATTGAGATAAGGGAACAAAGAAGAGAAATATACTAGGTGATAGAGGTGGGAAAATGAGTTACACTCCCTTTTGTACATCTTGGGATATCTGAATGGGACTTCTGAAGACAGCTGGAAATACATGCCGCAGCTCCACTGAGAATTCAGATGTGGATCTGATGTCATCTACCTGTAGGTAGTATGCAAAGTAGAGGATGGACAGTTTCATCCAGGCATGAGTCCCTAGCCCAAAGAAAATTGTGAAGACTGACTCTGAGGAATACTAATATTTAGGGAGTGGAATCTTGCTCTAGGAACCGTGAAGGAAACTTTGGAGAATTGGTCAGAGAGGTGGGAAGAAAGAAGGCTGAGGTGGAAACACAGATGCCAAGAAGTAATATGCTACGCATATCCTGAAAAATTCATGTCTCTAATGTACTTAAAAAGTATCTCTTTGGAATAAGTGAGATAAGCGGAGTTGTCTGCCTCGGTGCTATAATTTCAATGCACAGCCTGTAGCATTGCTTTCACTAAAGTAGACCTTGATGTGATGCTGTCAGCTTGGATTGAAGGATGTTATAAGAAAAGACCGATGACACTTTTTGTTGTGTTTCCTTCCTTCCTTCCTCCCTCTCTCCCCCCACCCTTCTTTCTTTATTCCTTCCTTCCCTTCTCTCTTCTTTCTCTTTCTTCCTTCTTTTCTTCCTTTCTTCCTTCCTTTCTCCTTTCTTTCTTTCTTTCTTTCTTTCTTTCTTTCTTTCTTTCTTTCTTTCTTTCTTTCTTTCTTTCTTTCTTTTTTCTTTTTCTCTTTCTTTCTTCCTTCCTTTTTTTTCTTTCTTTCTTTTTCTTTTTCTTTTTCTCTTTCTTTCTTCCTTCCTTCCTTCCTTCCTTCCTCTCTTTCTCTCTCTCTCGGTGTTGCTCCATTCCTTACATAGATCCTTCTTTTTGAGAAATTTTGGTGGAAAATTCATTTAAATCTCAAGAATAGAAACAGTTGTGGTACTACTGATCAGTTTATCGATCTCTCTATATATAAAATATGAATCATGTGAAATATAATGTGAATCATGTAAAAGTCTAAATTTCCTTTTTGCATAGACTACTGAAAATGTTTGATTCATTTCTGGGGACACTTTCTACCACAGGACCTTACTGTGCACATGGTGAATTGACTTCACTGCTGACCCCATCTTTCCCAGTCTGCCAAAGCACCTCATTCAGTTTTTTCAAATTTGATTCTTTCCTGCTAAATAGCATGATTTTAATACAGTACTATAAGTATTTGCTGGACCAAGGAAGAATATAAAACAAATTTATGTATTAATTTTGAAGGTTTTCGTACAGTAATTTTGATCTGTTGCTGACTTCATTCAGTCAACGTTTGCTGAACTGAGTCAGTGATGGGTTGAGTCAGTTGTTATTCCAGAGCTCAGCTTTTCTCAGTTACTCCAAATCACCTTAGAATTTTCTCTTGGTGGCTGACTTTGATTGAGGCTCCATCTCTGTCTTCCACAGTGACGAGGACTGTGTGTGCAGAACAATGTGATGGCAGGTGCTATGGACCCTACGTCAGTGACTGCTGTCATCGAGAATGTGCTGGTGGCTGCTCAGGACCCAAGGACACTGACTGCTTTGTAAGTCCAGGAGGGCCCCTCTTATTCTCCCGCTCTCCCTGCCCGCCCAGTTTGACTTAGACACATTGAATCTTTAACATCTTATTAAAATAAGATCAAATTTAACCATTTTAGGATTAAGAAAGCTGTTCTGCCTTCTTAGAAGTCTTTCCCTCACTGGGTGGCTATTGATTAACTAGTGTTGTTCTGTTCTCCTAAAAGAATTATGTCTTTCTGATGTAATTTATATTACAAGTGAGATTTATTGAAGATTGTGAAGGAGAACATATTGAGATATCTTTTTGAAAGCTAATAGCATTCTTCAAAAATTTACAGCGATTACCTGTTTATGTTGTTGCATCATTGAATCTTCTGAGTGGAGGCACTTACATTTTATTTCTTGAATATAAATTTCGTGATTATAACAGATAAATTTATGAATTTAACTATTTTTCAGTTTATATTGTTTACAAGCTAAAATTATTCAAAATTTATAAGATCTACAAATGCACCCTGAAAGCAATTTATATGCTAATCTGTATGATTTTTATTTTAGAAGAAGACACTTTTACTTCCTTAAAATTAACATTTATAGCTTGTTGGGGACACTTTTTAATTACATTTTGATATCTCTGATATGGTTCTTTCTGTTCTTTTGAATACACACAAGCAACTCTGTGAGCTATAGTTAACATAATTTCATATACACAGAGTATTAGTTTCATTTTAAGCCAAAAATCATAAAATAAGAAATTGTTTTTGTTGTTAAAAATGAACATAAGAATTTATTTTCTTTTTTCTCTTTTCAAACATCCAGAGAATGCACACGTATATTTAGAATTGAGTATTTTTTTTCCAAATTGGCACTTAATTCTGGAAATTAGCAAAATATAAATTACAGCTTTTATGATATAGATAGTAATTTCTTAATTTTCTTAATGTCATAAGAAACTTAATTTGTCTACCTTAATACTATAGGGAAACAAAAGTATGTATTGCAGAAGTGAATAGGGAGGAAGAAGAAAATAAAATAAAAATGTTAAAAATTCAAGGAAGATGCTCAGCAACTCTTGAACTGAGGCCCTTCCCTTGTCAATCACCAGACATGGGATGTAAGCTTGATTTGGAGGATGCTGAACAAGTGTTGTGTTAACAACACAAATTCTAAAACAATAACAATAATAAACACCAACAATAGCCATAACTTTCTTTTAGAAGTTTTTCCCTGCATTATTTTCATGGTTCCATTATCATGATAGAGTACTGAGTGAGCATCAGAATTCTCATTTCATTACTTTTCTGGAATGGTCCAGTGAGTCCACTTTGGCGTTTGGTACAGAATGTGCCAGACTGAGGCCTTGGTGTGAGTTATGTTGTTTTGTTTGCTGTCTGGAAAGTAAATTTGCTGATTCCTCTGGTTTACGTTCCTTTGTTGCCAAGCAATCTGTGTACAACACTGCATAAAGTATGTTAGGAAAGCAATTATGAGGACACATGAAGTTTTATAACCATAAATTAAAACTTACTGAGTTTTCTAGATTGGTTTTTAATAGATTCTTCCTGGAAAGTGTCATCTTAGTGAATAATGTATCATGAGTGAATCTCATTCTGATTATGCGTCTAGTAGACCATCATCAGAGAATTTTCATGTTTGTGATAAAAGACTTACTAACACAACAATTGATGAAGAAAATGGTTTGAGGAAACAGAATAAATTAATGCTTATTAATAACCATACCTACCATTTATGATGAAATGTAAAATATAGCTTGAGTTCCCATTAGCTTGAGTTCCCATTAGCTTGCCTTCCAAAGCCCAAATTACTCCTATGAAGGTTTAATTTTTTAACTAAGAGAATTAGTCCATCTACTCTTTTGTTAATCACATGTTTTTATGCATTTATACATATGTTCTATTTTTATACCAAATGCCTAACTCTCAGGTGGGAAAATTGTTTGTAATTCTTCTCAAATGCATTTGAAACTATTAACAAATTGAGGTCTCAATACAAATGTATGAGTCAGAAGAAACAAATTGTTTTACTTGAACTTAGGGGCTTTTACTAACTGGTGTGGCATTATGAAAAAGACCATACAGGAAATGACATCATATTATTTAGTTATGGACTAACTATAGGTACTTCTTTATGTTTGGGAATTACACACCCTGCATTTACAGTTGACCAGTCACCTGCCAGAGCCTTTTCTTTGAGTCTAGTTTAAATGCCCATCACAATGTTTTCTTACCATACAATGTTGATGATTGACTTACCACGTTACTTAAATCAGCGAACTCTGCAAACACCAGCTTTAAGGAAAGTCTAGCCTGTAGAATTGGGAATTTGGTTGTCAGGGCTAGACTCTAAGACTAAACACAAACCCTTTGAATAAGTGTGAGCTCAAATGATTCTTCACTGTTAGCTAACTTTTATAATTTAGACCAATTCTAAGTTTAGAAATTAGTGGATAGATACTAAGCAATTTGAACATCAACAACTATACTTAATATATGTACTGTCATTGTAAAAATAGTTTTCTAAAATTTTAGAATTCCTAAACAAATTTTGACTTAAAAAAAGTAGTAACAACTATAAAATTTTCAATTTTGCAGTTTTTATGAAATTGATGTATACTGAGTAAAAAACAACCCTTTCACAAAACTGTTGCACCAGTGTTCCTTTAACAAGTGTTAGGAAGATTATTTTCAAATGAAATTGGTATTTGCTATGTTGCAGGCCTGCATGAATTTCAATGACAGTGGAGCGTGTGTTACTCAGTGTCCCCAAACTTTTGTCTACAATCCAACCACCTTTCAATTGGAGCATAACTTCAATGCAAAGTACACCTATGGAGCATTTTGTGTCAAGAAATGCCCTCGTAAGTAACAGCATAAGAATATCCAAATTAATCATAATTTAAAAACAAAATAATTTCATGTAAATTTATTGTAATTTGAAACATAACAATATCGTGAATTCCTTGGGTATGCATACTATCACTACCATTTCACGAATAACTCAATTAAAATTCCAAAAATTAAAGTAATTGGTCCAAAGCCTCAGCAAACAAGTCGCATGTTTGAGCTTTGCGTGCAGTGTCATTGACTTCTAAAGTCATTATTTTCACTATACCTCAATGTTTTTGCACATGATGCTGTTTCCCAGAAAAGTGATTAAAGTGGCAGCAAGCTATGTAATGAATAAGGTGTTTTTCTGATAACAATGAATTTTTACCTAAAATTATTTCTGATTACTTATTTGTAATAGAATATACAGCATTAGAGTTTTCATATCAAATCTAATCGTAAACAATAACAATAGGTATGATAGGCATGTTAAGGGGTCTTTACCAAATTGATAACTTATCCTGGGAATTCAAAGTGATAAGCTTAACTTTCATCAAGAACTCAGTATAATATACATCTCTTGATGTTTGTTCAAGCCAGTTTCTTTGCTTGGAATGACCAATGGGACATTTCTTTAATGTTTACCTATTGAAAGGGCTGAAAAAATTCACTACATTTATCTACATACTCATTTAGAAGAAGAGGGCTTTACAATACGCAGTGTACAGACATTATGGTTTTCTTTGCTCTGTGCATATGATGGAGTAGGATGTGTAAGGGACATGGGATTAGAGTGGCTATAGGTTCTGGCTTTGCCTACCTAGAAGCCATGTGATTTTACACGAACTGTTTAGTTTTTTGTTTCCTCCTCTTTAAGACTTGAATGATAATAATCATATCTCCCCTCTCTCTTTCCCAGAGTCATTATAAGAATCAAAGGATAGGGAATAAGGATCGGGGGACAGTATATAAAAATAAGTCTTTGAAAACAATGATAATTCTAGTCATTAGTATTAAATATTTCATATTGGTTAAAATAATAATTATATGTATTTATATAAATATATACAAACTATATATATAAATGTGTAAATTATATATATATAAATTTAACATGCCTGTGAATTAGCATTTTAAAGTCACAGGCACACTAACTCTAGGATGGTAAGGATTTTCCATCTTAAACACTGTAATATCCAAACATACGTTTTTGATCTAGTAACCTCTCATCTAAAATTATGCTGTATCTCACCAGCTACTATCCTTGCAAAATAGGGGACCTGAAAGTGTTGCAGGATGGAGCTAGATGATGTCATTTTTCCTTTTCTAAGACAAATGTCCTCCTACTCTACTACCTTCGAATTATGGTGCCTTGTCCCAAAGACAGGCAAAACTATGCGCTTTTTAGATTTTTGGTGCTTTCCCTTTTGTTCAACTCCTGAGGTTGAGGCCCAGGGGTTGGGTTGGTATGGAAGAAGTACCAGGAAAATCTGAATGAGGGTCCACTTTTCTTTACTCTGGTCTTTGCAGTGGCTCATCTGAAGGCTCTCAAGTACTTAGTTATGGCAGGTGCCTAAACACTGGGAACTGCTTTGTGAAATTACTTCCTTCCTTGGCTTAGTTTAGCCCTATCAAATTATAGACTAATTTAAAGCACCTCGGTATCTATGTAAAATTCAAATCTTTGATGGGCCTTGCTCATAAGGCATGGTTTACTAACCTGTAGCTATCTTGGAAAAACTTAGACATTTAGCTTCTTAACACTGATCTATAATCCCTAATCCAGAATTCTGACATTCAAAAACTCGAAACAACAGATATTTTTTGAGACTCATTTGGTTGGAAAATCTGAACCTAATTGATATGAGGCTATTAATAATATTTATTTATTCCACTTGGCATAAATTGCTGCAAAAATGTGGAAGTGTTTAGGGCTGGCCTGGTGGCGGAGTGGTTAAGTTCTCATGCTCTGCTTTGGCAGCCCAGGGTTCACAGGTTCAGGTCCCAGGCACAGACCTACGCACCACTTATCAAGCCAGGCTGTGGCAGGGTTCCCACACATAAAGTAGAGGAAGATGGGCATGGATGTTAGCTCAGGGCCAATCTTCCTCACCAAAAAAAAAAAAAAAAACTGTGAAAGTGTTTAAATATGGGGTATTCCTAAAGACTTTGCAGAAAAGATGGTTACATAATATACAGCATATGCACCTGTTGCAGGTTGGGTTCCCTGAGACAGAGATTAGGTTCTTAAGGAGTGTTCTCAGAATCAAGACCTGTGGGGGAAGGAAAGGAAGCAGGATCAGGCGGTGACGTAGACTCAACAAAGTGCCTCTTTTGTAGTAGATGCCCTCTGATGGATGTTAACTTGGGATACAAAGACCTTCACACCTTGTGCCCACTCCCACGGATTCATTTATATCCCTCTACCACAGACTCCCCTCAATCTCAGATTTTCCAGTATTTCTTCTCCCAGGGTAAGCCATTGCTGATGAATCCATGTTTATTCTATGCTCAGATCACTTCCACACAAAGTAAATGGTATTTGCACTACCCAGAACTATGCCTATTGGTAGGACTTCTCCTTGCCACTGTCTTTCAAGTCCACTCCTGACTGAGGCGGCAGAGCAGCTGCCGTCCATTTCCAGCTGCTTGCATCCACATGCCAAGCTTGGTTTTTGTTTCCTCTGTCAGCTTGTCGTAAGTGCCCTCTCTTGGTCCCCACGCAGCCATAGCGATGAGCTGAGTGAGAAGTGCCAGCACAACGGTGGATGACATGGGGGTCTGGACCACCTGCTCATGGAGTTTACTTATGCCTCTGCCCCTACTCATGTCCAATCCCAAATGTACTGCTTTCCTCTCATAGTGGATTGCTGTTGCACCTACCCAACATTGTGACGTCATGTTTCTAACAAAATCTTTTTTATGATGGGCAGTTCTGGCTACAAGTTCAATCAATGGCCCATGGTTAGTTGCTCCAGCTTTCCAGGACCCAAAGTCGTGTCAGGAGCTGTTTGTTAAATGGTGTATAATTCTGTGCTGCAGATGGCATGGCTTAGCTCTTGAATGCTAGTGGTCTCTGATGTGATTTTTCAGTTGCAACTTGCATAACTCCACATGGCTTATTTTCACACCATAGATACTTCTAATATCATAGAACCTCTTGCATTTTATGACCCAAGTAGCAGAATTGCTTGCACCCCAGCCTGGACCTGCAACATATGCCTTCCCTGCTCTGGGCCCCTCCAAAGCTGGAAGCCTTCCATACCATGCAATATTGGGCCAGAAGCAGTATTCCCAGACATGGACAGATGCTGCCTTCAAAACCCAAAGTGGCCTAGCAGGTGTTGTGTTTCCCCTTTATTGTGGGAAGCTCTAGATGCAGTAATTTGCCCTTTTTTGGGGAGGGCATGTCTGGCATATTCCAGATCACTGGACTCCTAAACATGTCGCCAACGTGTCAGGTAATTAGATGTTCCTGGTTTATTTAGTATACCTTTCCTAAAGTACTGCCCTTTCAAATTTCATTTTGTCTCTTATAAAACTTTGTGACAGTTTCTATGGCACTCCACTGAAAGACAGAACGCATTGTAAACATTTCCTCCTGGATGTGAAGTGAACTCTCCTGACCTAAGGCAGTGTAACTTCAGCTTGGTTTGTTCTTCATGGAACTTGAAGTATTTTTAGACTCCAAACTTGCATGATGACGTGAAATGAAGTGGAACTATTGAAAAACGCAAACTAAATGTCATGTAGTTTCCTAAATCTATAAAAGAAATTCACTGTATTTTGGGGGCAGTTCAGGATGCGCAGCAGTAGCCAAGCGAGTACTGGTTGTTAATGCACGCTGCTGCTGGGTTTGAATGTGGACGTTCATAGATGCTGTTTCAGGTTGAGATATGCGGACAGAGAGTTGTTTTAGGGAAAGAGACATATATTATCAATGACGGCAATCATTTTCAAACCCTAAAATATCTTGTTTTAAGTTTGTTTGCTGAACATCAACGTTATTACTAATTTTACCTTTTTTTATCAGATAACTTTGTGGTCGATTCCAGCTCTTGTGTGCGTGCCTGCCCTAGTTCCAAGATGGAAGTAGAAGAAAACGGGATTAAAATGTGTAAACCTTGCACTGATATTTGTCCAAAAGGTGAGTGATGGCTGAGATTATTTTAGCTAGAACAGAGGCCTCTACGAAGGTTTTTTGTTCACTTTTTGATGGGCCGACTAAGTTAGTCTCTTAAAACACACCACTCCTGATACCAAACCTTCCCACACACACATTTCCATGACTTTGAACAGTTCCCCCAAGTCTCAACTATCGTAACATTGTGTATTATTGGTTTTGAATGATATGTACTAAAATGATCCAGATAAAAGTTCACTTTGATGGGAACTCAGAAATAAAGTTGCATTTTATTCTATATATAGCAAATCTTAGAAGTTATGGACAAAACAAAGGTTCACACGATTGTTTTAGCATCAAGAACACATATTAGTTGTTTGCCACTGAGTGCAAAATGATCGGTTCTCCATGAAAAGGGGAGCAAAGAGACGTGCAACATGACATTTACTCTCCCGGTCTTAAAGATATATGAAATGACAAAGATGTTTACCATAAGTTTTAAATGTTGCAGATAATTCATATTATAGAATTTTAGCGGAGGAAGAAATCCCTTCCAGCTAAGGTGCTCCAATTCCTTACCAGAATGAAACTTAAATTAAGCAGGGCCAAAGTAGTCTAAATTTTCTAAATGTCATTAAGCTTTCCAAAGTATCAAAGAGTGCCTGTAAAAACGGCAAACTTGAGAATTACTTTTGGACTCTTTCTCCACACACACACACACATATAAATTTTTTGTTGTTTTTAACATAGAGCTTTCAGAATGCATAGCTAATACTCAATTTAATTATAAATATTTGAATGGCTCTTGATTCTGGTTACAACTCATATCGTTAGGACTCTGTTTAATGTATATTCTTAATTAGACCAGTGTTTTGTAAACCACATCTGATGAGGGTTGTAGACCCTCATCAGACTATGAAATTATTTTACTAAAGTGACCAGCATTTAAACGTATTAAAAGTGATATTTTAGGATGGATTTGAAAATGGGTGATTTTATGTAGCAAGGGTATGTATGTGTTGTGTGTGTATCCTGGGTCTTGATATAAAGTATAATTCTTACAAGCCATGGTATCTAGACTATAATGCACAGCAATAGCTTAAAGCAGGCCCAGTAAATGTGGCATGAAATTATTATTTTATTTGTTAGAAAATTTATTTTTCATGATGAATTTTTTCATTTTGTAACGAAAAAACAGTGTTATTTTATAATGAAAATGCAACAATTTATAGACTATCAGACAGTTTCTCAACTCCCTGACTGTGAGTCTTGTTTCTGCAGCTTGTGACGGCATTGGCACAGGATCGTTGATGTCAGCTCAGACCGTGGATTCCAGTAATATTGACAAATTCGTAAACTGCACCAAAATCAATGGGAATTTGATCTTCCTTGTCACTGGTATTCATGGGTTAGTATTAAATTTTTGTAGAAAATTATTTTACAAAGTGTAGACAAAGCTTAAGAGATTCTTTAGCTTTGTCTGTTTGATTGATTTGGTGACTACTTCGCTTTGAAAATATAAATTTATACATAAGCTAAAATATATTTCCAGGACATTCCTCTCAAATCCATAGATTCAGCAAGCTTGACATATTTTTAGATATGTTTAGAGAAATAATATCAATGAGTGAAGTGAGGCATTTCATTTAAATTCCTAACGGTTTAGTTCAAGACAACATAAATTAATATTCCTTAAAATAGGCAGCTCACAGAAAACAAATCAGTAAGTGGAAACTCTCCTGAGCTTTCAGAAATTCTCTTTGCCCTGATGTATCTTTTTCTCTTCTTTCTTTGGCTGGGAAGTTAGTACTATTGTAACAGATCTACTTACTGAACTTAATTTTAGCCATAAAAATTGTAACATTTTTCTGGGCTCCTTCGTTACAGAACCACCTGCTGGTTTTAACTGGGAAAACAACCAAGTGTGTATTCTTTCCAGTGCCATAAAAATGTCAATATTTTTGCTTCATATTTTATTTATTTGTCTATATTACTACTTAATCCCTAAATATTAGTGCTACAGGCTACAGATAAAGAATATCGCTCACATATTTCAATTCAAAATCTTACTCGAAACATATATCATGTCATTTCCAGCAGCAAAATAATTTAACACATTATGAATAAATACATACAGATAAAAGCAGTGAGAGGGGTAGAACAAAGTGTTTCTTCCCATTCAAATAAATTACTCTAGGTCTTATTGCATTAAGCATTTCTTTACTTTAAAATGTAGCTTTTAATATGGGTCTATACCAGATGCTATAAATCATGTATACACTTTCTGCCCTAGATACGTTATATTTGGCTTAAGCAGTATTTTTTTTTTTTTAAAGAAGGTCAAGATTTCAAACTTCTCTTTAAAAATATGTGGACTTGGTTACTCTAAACCCATATTCCTACATGGCGACAATGTGTTGGAGCTGGGTAGTACTAGCCATTGTGAGATGGGACATATTCATTTGAATTGAGCATAGTCCCTACTGGCCCTCTGAATCCGTTTACTTTGCTGTCTTCACCTTCTTGGCCCCATTGGGTAGGAGAGCTGGGCAAATATTTAGGTGTATCTATATAATTTAATGCATATGCAACGTTTAGTAAAAACAATATATCACATTTTAACTATTTTAAAACCAATTAGCATCATGAGTGAAAGATCATATCGTGTTAACAGTGTCTTCCAAGAAATAAGAAGACATAGCCCCTTGATTCACATTGCCTAATTCCACATGGATATAATAAATGAATGGGCCTCAAGTCCATCAGTGTGGGGAAAGACTTGAAAATATAGTCTCACGAATTGCATTAGATGAGTGGTTTTCATCCCAATTAGGCCCAACATCCATCTTTTAAATATTAAGCATTTTAACACTTCCTTTTCAATTCTGAAATGAAAATCGTGGATAATATAGCCTACCTATATATGTAATTTTATAAAATTATAATTCTATAATTGTAAGTTAAAGAAGAAACAAGAGAAAAGTAATGTATAATTAAATATGTATTGATAGAAAAATGCTCAGCTTCTACTTACTTGTAGTGAAAGTTAGAATTTATGAGAAATAAGTCATTCTGGGCAAGAAGTGCAGGGAAATAGAGAGCAGAGGCACAGCTGGTCACTGGAAGAGGAAGTTACTAACCAGACATATTATATGACAAGAGAAAAACGGAAATAACTTTCATTGAAATAGAGGCAGCATGACTACAAAATTACATACAAAGTATGATCAGCTATGAAGTTTGCGCACATGAGATCCTAAACTGGGTGGGACATTTTAAGATTGTTCAAGACATGAGGCGGTCCTTTGCTGTGAAAGACATTGAACTTCCCTGGTTTGGGATTACTAAAAGTCTGTAGGCTCCCTCAATCTCTGTTACAACTGAAACACCTCTACAAAAGTCCCAGCCTCCCTTTAGTGAGGTGGTACTGCCCCCACTGAGAACCACTGCAAGAATTTTGTGGTAGTAGAAGGATTATGAACCAACAAAAGCAAGCTGCTGATGGTTAATCTTCTTATAGATAAAGCACTGGTGGGAAGGTTTGAAAAAGACCTCATCTTGTGTGGTTCAGAATGGTTATTTTAGTCTTGGTTCATTATGGAACATATTTATCAAAACTCTAGATTTATACTAATTATAAAATGGTTTTAGGGCCGGCCCGGTGGCTTAGCGGTTAAGTGTGCGCGTTCTGCTACTGGCGCCCAGGTTCAGATCCCAGGCGCGCACCAACGCACCGCTTCTCCGGCCATGCTGAGGCCATGTCCCACATACAGCAACTAGAAGGATGTGCAACTATGACATGCAACTATCTACTGGGGCTTTGGGGGGAAAAAAAAGGAGGAGGATGTTAGCAATAGATGTTAGCTCAGAGCTGGTCTTCCTCAGCAAAAAGGGGAGGATTGGCACAGATGTTAGCTCAGGGCTGATCTTCCTCACACACACACAAAAAATGGTTTTACATATTCTCATTCACCTAAGGCCTAGAATAGGGGAAATATTAATAAATAAATGCAAAAAAAGGAAGCTGATGTTTCAAGGTATAAAAATATATTGTGCAATAAGGACCATACATTCACCAGTTTATGAGAAGAATCTTTATAAAACATTAGACTAATCCAGACTTTTAAGGAGATCAACCTTGCTGATTCATCCAGGTGAAAAATGACTAATAGAAAAATCAACTCACATGGGTTGGACATAGAAAGGTAAACAAAGCTTCTCTTAAAAATAAGAATTAGATTTTCTCCTTGAGTAACTTGATCCAGACTCGACTGGAACTTGATCTGAGGCTTCAATCTGCATTGAGTTGGGTGGCTTCCATTACCTGTCAAACAGTTTCCTTCACTGTAAAGTTGAGAATTGGATTAATAATAAATACCTACCTCCTCTGGTTGTTGTGGGGATTAAAAGCAAAAAATATTTTTAAGCATTCAGCCAAGTACCTGGAATACAGTAAAAACTTAATAAACGGTATAAAAAAGAAAGAGGTGGCAGGAAGGAAGGCAGCGGAGGGAAAGAGAGAAAGAGACAGAAATAAGGGAGGAGAGAGAGAATGAAAAGTTGCAAAAACAAAAGATTAAAAAAAAAAAGAATCCCCCAAAACAAAAAAAAATTAAAAAAATAAGCAGGAGGAGAAGGCAGTGCAAAAGAAAATCTCAATGCTGTATCTAGTTTATAGCACAGGATACCGTGTAACAGATATTATTTTACAGACTAGTGGAAACCAAATAAAGGCAAAGTTATTTTCATGATAATATTTTCTTTTTTTTTAAAGCACATACTCTTTTTTTTAATTTATTTTATTTTATTTATTTATTTTTATTTTTTTATTATTATTTTTTTGTGTGTGTGAGGAAGATCAGCCCTGAGCTAACATCCGTGCTAATCCTCCTCTTTTTGCTGAGGAAGACCGGCTCTGAGCTAACACCTGTTGCCAATCCTCTTCCTTTTTTTCCCCAAAGCCCCAATAGATAGCTGTATGTCATAGCTGCACATCCTTCTAGTTGCTGTATGTGGGACGCGGCCTCAGCACTGCCAGACAAGTGGTGCATTGGTGCGCACCTGGGATCCGAACCCGGGCCACCAGTAGCAGAGCACGCATTTAACCGCTAAGCCACGGGGCCGGCCCTGATAATATTTTCTTTATGATAAATCATATTTAGTTCAGAAGATTATTATTTGTTCTCTATTATAGCACTTGGAATATTTGAATATTAATATTATTGTGTCTCAAGCATAATATATAAGGCATTTTCCAGAACAAAGATATAAGTGAATTATGATATATTTCTCCTTCCAGCATGAAACATGTATTCTGAAACCTTTCCCTTTCATCTTAGGAAAGTATTAAGATAATGTTAATTCAATAGGCATCAGACATATGTGTGTAGGCATGTGTGTTCATGTATGTAATATGTGTGTGTATATGTATGGTGAGGAAGATATTTTAAGGGTATATAATATGGGGTATTATAAAGAGAAAATTTATAGTCAATTAGGAAATGTTTTACCTCACTTAATTCCCATACCCTCAATCTTCTACTAACTTGTTTTTAATAGGATGTGCAGTTTGGTTAAAATAGCTGAGGTATTTCTTTAAACTAATAGAAAGGCAAAATTCATAATTAAATAAGATTATACTTTTCAAAAACAAGTTTTTGCAAAAAATAAATTTACTATCAATGTGTCAATTAAAATTTTAATATATAAAAGAGCTCAAGGAAGTTATGTGACATGCTCAGTTTATAGCACAATAGTGCCATTGCCAGAAGTAGGCTAGACACGTTTACTTCCTCATTTAGAATGGGAACCATGGGCAAATCAGTGTTTAGGGTTATCTATGGGAATAATCCCCTCTCCTGCCTTGTCATGTTTGACCCTGTTCACGTGCATGTTTTTAGAGTGACAAAATGCTCACCAAATAAGCGTGTCCATGCTGTGTCACAATGAGACCCTGTCAAGCAAGTGCCTAGATGATAGATAATGGAAAAGAGATAATGGCTTTTGTGAAAAAATTGAGTGATTTCAATGGAATTGTGAAAATACGTTTCTCTCCCTTTATCCTGAGCTGTATTTTGGATCACCAAACACAATGACAGGGCGAACATAATCTTCTTTCTCACAGCTCTGTTTAGTGAGGGAAGTTCGAGATTTTAAAGTACTGAGGATTTCAAGTGGCTGTAGGACGAAACTCCCTAGAGGTCTTTCGAAGTCAGTTAGTGGGATTCTGTCAACTTACTTTATGAGAGTCCTGAATCTCTAAAATTAAGCGTATAAAATTTCTGTGGTCCACTGGGCTTCATGTGAACAGTCCAGAATTCATTTCATTCCTGGCAACCTGGAAGTGTTCTCAGTAAAGGTTTGGACTGACCCTATTATGGTGGGCTTGCCCTGAATTTTGATTTTTGCTCAATAAAGCCAGAATATTTGATTATATGACCAGAGCTGTTCTCTACACAGCTTTTCATCAAAGAACAAATGTTGAAAGCTCATCCTACTACTGCAGCGCTGATATTTCCTCTGCATACAAAAGTCTTTGCACATTAAAAAATGATAACAACAAGAGTTTTCCCACATGGTGAACTTAATTTTTTGGCTTCCTATTCATCAAAAGCATAATTATTCATTCTATGTATCTTCGGTTATAAATAGAGCAAGTTTGCCAGCACATTTAATTTAGACTTGAAGCTTTGGAGAGATATTCATGTCGCATTGAGGAAAATCTTCATTGTGCATGTGTGAATTACAGGGAAACTCATTTACAGTGTTTCTCTAAGCCTTATATAGCACTCCAGGTTAAACGAGCATATTGTATTGATTGCACTTCTTGGTTTGAAACAGTAATTTAATCAAGCAAAGATGTTTTTTTCTCTTTAAAGATATGGGGTGGTTCACAGTATAAAAGAATATGCTGATGAACCAAGTTGAGAGAGCTAGTACAAGGTGGTTTCAGAGATCAAGGTGGTTGGAACTAACAGAGAGTCTTTCAAGGCTCTAATGCTGGGATGAACAAATGCCAATGGATTCAGACTTGGATTCCCAGAGGATAGGCCATATGCCTATTTGTTTGTCAGAGGGCTGTGGAGTGCCTTGATCGATAGCCCTATTAAAACTGCATCCACTGGACCACAGTATCCTTGTGTTGATTCCCATACGAAAAAGAAGGTTTTCAAAGACTCATAAAACAACAGATGTCCACAGCAAGGATAAAACTCAGTTGATTGCTGCGGGTGGATACATGAATAAAGCCTAAGTTCATTATTCTTGGAAAGTTTGATTTCTTTTAGAAGAGTGGCCAATAATAGAATTTAATTATCTCTGAAGGATATATACTAATATATATATCCTACTTGCCCAAGATATAGCACAGAATGTCTTTTAAAGTAATAAAACTTTTGAAAAATACTATAGATGCCTTAAAAAATGAAAAATATTGCTTGAAATACTGAGAAATATTTGATGTTATATTTATGTTTGGCTTAATATTCAAGTATGCAATTATTTTGTATGATCAGTATGTTATACATGAAAAACATTTTCCTAAAACAAAAACCTCTGAAAAAAATCCATTAGATATTTAATTTTAAAAGGTGTTTTAGGTTCATTTTTTAAAAGACAGGGCCTCTATATAGCAATAACATTAATTACAAAATATGTTTATGCATTAGGAGATGGTATTTTTAACAATCTCCAGAATTTACAACGCCTTTTGAGTATCATTAGATTTGTTGTAAATTTTGTTTTCAAATGTTAGTATGATTCATATAGATGGAAGCAAATAGTTCCTGTGTTATAAAAGTGAATATAAATAAACCAGATAGGAACAAGATTGCTCTAAATAATCCATATCAAAAGTTTCATACAATATTATGCATATTATGAAAATTCACTAATAGATAAATGTGAAGATAGAGCAATGAGAAATTGACTTCATGTGCTTGTTTTTATCCTTTGAAGGAAATTACAGGTGGTATTAGCAATTTAGAATGGTTTGAGGAGCCCAAAAGGCAATTGTTCCCACCATAACATAATTTATTTGCAGAGTATATTTTCCTAATTAAGAATAAGCTTTTAAAGGCAAAATAAAATAAAATGACTCATAAATAGACTTGCTATATTCGGACGTTTCTTTAGGATAGTCAAACTGAAAAATTCCTCTAGATCTAGCATAGCCTTCGATGAAGAACTCAAATTCTGTGTCATCAAAAATGTCCTCAAAGCACCTACCTTTTAATCTCCAACCACATCTACCATAGAAACATTTTGATGGGACATTGCTCACCTTCCTATGGCTAATTAAAATTCAATTTGAATGAAATAAGTGTTGTCACATTTCTCATATTGTCACTTCTTTATCTAATCTTATATTTAGCTGCATCTTTCCTCGATTTTCTAGGGACCCTTACAATGCAATCGAAGCCATAGACCCAGAGAAACTGAATGTCTTTCGGACAGTCCGAGAGATAACAGGTAATTTTTTGAAGTGCTATTGTTGTGCTATGAACTATGTGAATTTTAGTGTTTTCTTGAAAATATTACATAATATTGGAATCAGCAACTCATTTTCAAAGCAAATTCTAGTTTTTAAAATGCATGTCATTTTCAGTGATGGGTATCTTTACTCCTTAGCGTTTGTGCACATTTTGAAAGCCCACAGAATTTAAAAAATAAAATTTCCTTAAAATTTTGATGTCACTGTTTTTGAACCCAAGGTTTTCTATTTACTTTTTCACAAGAAGTTCTGTTGAGCATGGGTAACACGTAGCATTCATTTACCACGTGTTTATTGAGCATTGAGTATGTTCAGGGCTGTTATAGTAGGTGGGATGGGGCCATAGACATGAATCAGACATGGATTTGCTATCAAAGAACGTGAAACCAAACGAGGAAGGATTGGTATATATCTAAATGCCTTAGAATGCAAGGTAGACAATTGATGTCATTAAGTGTACAGATAAAATGGTAAAGGACTTCAGAGAAATTGAAACTATATTTTTCTCTTTATCTAGTTAGATTAAATATTCTTGCTTGTAGAAGAATAAATCAAATTAAGAATCATTTCAGTCTTTTAGCATATGCAGTTATATGATTCTGTATGTCTGAGAAACATAGGTTCTTGGTGTTCATTATCTTGATATTCATTATCTATTGAGTATTGTAGCCTAGAAACTTTGGGTAAGACACTCAATCTTGGAAGAAGAAATATGAGATAGAATGGCTCAAATAAGAGGAATGTTCACTGCCCTTCCTTACCTCCTGTCTTTCAACACATTTTCATCATATTTCAAGAATAATCAGTATTAAACACTGTAACTAAGACAATGATATTCTGAAGTTTTTGCTGCCCTTATCTTTTGTAGGTTTCTTGAACATACAATCGTGGCCCCCAAACATGACCGACTTCAGTGTTTTTTCTAACCTGGTGACCATTGGTGGACGAGTACTCTATAGGTATGTGTATGTGTTCAAAGCTGCAGGTCTCCCAGATTTCAGGAGTAGCACCATGTGTACATATGTCTAAGCCATCGGCCTCATTGATTTACTGATTCCAGAAATATTGGGTTTCCACTTTTAATTCCAAAGGTAAGGTCAGTGAAAAATATCCCCGATTGTGCTTTATAGTATACAGAATACAGTCTGATTTTTCAATAGCCTATCACTTAAAGTAATATTAGTGTTTTGCAGGTGTGGAGCGCCCAATGTGAACCATAAAATTGAACCTTCTTTTTGATCATATGCTATCATGATTAAAAGGTAGAGTTGGATGACTTGTCAATGGCTTAGGTCTGTCGGATGCCAAGGCTATTTTATCAGGCCACTCTTGTTTTGTCTCTGGTGCCATCATTTGAACCAAGCATAGTAGGGCTGATGTTTCAAGAACTGGTCCACTACACTACATGCAGTGCTGGTTAATAATGGACAGAAAAATCAGGGCTCAGAAGGACACTGTTCTAAAGTTCTAATGTCAATATTTTTATTCACATAATAAAAATATTTTTAAGCCATTGCTTTTATTTCATTTCATATTTCATCTGTATGCAATTCTTATTTATGAACAGTTAAAAGATGATTTACATACAGAGATTTTGATGTAATTTTTCTGCTTAAATCTGAAAGATGCCTAAAATCAATATGG